CAAAAACCTCAAATCATCAAACAAAATCAAACCAGGGCTAAGCTTATCCTCGTTTTCCCAACTCTCGCCCTATTCGTCCTATTAGCCAACGCCTCTATCTATTGAGCTCGAAAAAAAAATAGATGGCGTCAGAAACCAAATGGGTCCACAAAACGGTAAGTGGTAGAGGGGCTTTGAGCTAAAGATCGCTTGCAAGCAATCGGATATGAAGCTGATGACTTTGAACTATTGATCTTGAGGACGATATATGAGAACCCAATGCCTCAGCATCACAAACCAGATCTTAAAATGTGTTGTAATGAGCTACGACAAGTGGACAAGAAGTGTGTGTGTCCTACAAGAATTATGATATAAGCTTATACTACGGTACGTGTAGGAGATTATGATAAGATCCTCATCATGACCCTTTGTATAAATTAAAAATTTAAAACCTAGGTATGGTTCTTGTTTACAACAGAAAACAAGAAACGTGGTAAAGGTTGTGCCGTGGACAAGAAGCAGCAAATGCAATAATAACACAATAAATTGGTTAAACCAAAAGAAATTCAAAATGACGAAGCTAACCAACTAATCACTGCTGATAATAAAACATACAAGAATCATAAGTTAACCTTTGGGATCATTTCAAATGAGGTAAACACAGTTGGCTGATTACATACAAGAAAATCATATTTTCTCGGGTCAGGGTAAAAGAGTCAACGAGAAAGCTACTTATTAGAGCATGATGATTATATGATTGGAATAATATATGAATTTTATAATATTAATTATATTGGAATTGAGAAATTGATGAATAGAGAGAAAGAAGAAAGAGATAGAGAAAAATGTTATATTTATCCATTAAATATGGATAATATAGATTTTATATTTAAAAATCTAAAAATAGTTTGGATAAATATAAAAATTTTATAATATAAATTTTTTTTTATATTTATTCTTATTTATCTTCTATAATCATCTCCGTAACTCGGCCTAAACTTTCGGACATAATTTAAATGCTTCTTACCATATTGTCTTCGGGTCAGTTTCTAATATAACGACCGGTTTAACTGAACCAGTCAAATCTTTATTAAACCAAATAACCTTATTTTAACCTTAATAAACTACAACATACAATAATCTAATCTTCATCTTCATCTAAGACTACCGCACGTCACGGAATAAAAAAATTGACTAACGCACGTCGTACTAATTTCGGTGGATTCAATTGGTTTAGAGTTTATGGTTTGTAAATTGGTTCAAACTTGGTTCGTTATAAGTTATAACCGATAATTAATTGACGGTAAATACACACAATAGTCAAATAAACAGAAGAAGAACTCTAAAAACTCTACATTCAAACGAGAATTAAAAACCTATCGAGTTCAATTAATATTTAGGTTTGTTTGGTTTAATTATCGGTATAACTAACCATTTCACTAATAATAATTATTTCAAAATTAAAATAAAATAGGGAAAGAGACGTGGAAGGTGCGC